CGCAGAAATTCGCCATGTTGAATACTCACAGCGACGGAACAACTTAGATTAATCTGTCAACATCTTTGTCATTATCAAATCAGAGAATAGAAGGGCTTTCAGAATATACAACTTCGCCATTTCTTTTACCGCATGCATACATATCTAAACGAGGACATGGCGGGTTGGTGTAGTTTCCGTGTCTTATCTGCTTGTTGTGTATATTGTTTAAAGTTTAAACGCCCCCTTGGGATAGATGAAATAATGATTGCTTCCGTTTTTCTCTAGGTAACGGCGGAGAGCTTACGTGGTATTTTTCGCAAGTAAAGGGATCTGTAGAGGAGGATGTTGCAGAAGGTAAGGTTTTGTTTTAAAACTAAGATAAAACGCGAGCCTTTTTTCTTCTTAAAGTCTACAGCCTGTAGCGTTGGTAGTCGTTAGTCCACAGCCTTCTGTCTCGCGTACCGTACTTTAAGTACTTACTTTCAGTAATTTGTGACATAGATGATCCTATCCTAACCAAACCATGCCATGGTATTAAGACTTTCCCGCATCTTCTTTTTAGGTCCTCCCTCTGTGTCCATTTTCTTTTTAATTACCATTACTTCTATGTTTCTGCTGTTGAAACTAAAGTTCTAAACTAAGACCCTTGTTTTTATTTTGTTACAATTATGAGCTCTTCTACTTTGAACTTCCCCATAAAATGGCGACCGTAATATGATGCCGTTCGAAAGAGAGCTAAATTTTGGCAATTTCTGGCCATAAAATATCCAAAAATATCCTAATCGGGCTCAGTTCTATTAAAAATATGTGCCGGCTCCGCATAATGAAACAAATGCTCTAACAGGGTCTCGGCGATACGTTACTTGCAGACCTGCTTCTGCGAGTGGGCCCTCACCGCCGACCGTATCCCCTGCGCCGCACGTAGTGGCGCGGATGGGGACTAAACTAGATGGCTGGGACTCACAAGCGGCAGCTAATGCATCTCCTGCAACTGGTAAATCCTCAATGGCAACAACAGTATTGCTAATATACGTGCGAGCCGTGCGTGGTCTACCCGCCATATCGGTGTCATCATCTGTAATGTCTTGAAATTGTCAACGTTCGCTTTTATCGTCTGCTATTAACGTCTGCAGAAACGCTCAAAATTATCGTCTGCAGAAACGGTCGGTATTTATCGTCTGCTACTACCGTGTGCAATGTTGATATTGATTGTCAAGTAATCCTAGTTTTGCCGCGATTTGTTCCTTGGCAGAAAGTCCGTATTTTAGATATACGTAAACACCGTTCAGATATTTTTGGATATTTTACGGCCAGAATGTGCCATCACATTACGGCCGCCATTTTATGGGGAAGTTCAAAGTAGAGCCCTTCTGTTCTAAAGTAAAACGACTATGTTCTCCACAAAATTGTGCTTTACAACACCTAGTCACTGATAGAAAACACATAGATAAAAAATCATCTCTATGGCCATCTAAAACTTCTACCATTTAGTAAACAGTAAGTTTGTAACAAAGCCAAATTTATTCATAAAATATTTGCTAAGAACACTCCAATTATCTTTTTTTGTTGATTTACGCCAATCCAACCCTAAGAACAGCAACTAAATTTATTGCATTTGCTGAAACCTAGAATAAATCTTTATAAAACAACTATACTGCTGTTCATTTATGAAATCATCTCCTACTCTTAACTGAAAAATACAACAAATTCATACTCATTTACATTTAACCGCAAACTTTTTCAATTTGCGCTTACTAGCCGGAAGTGCGCAATTGACACGTGACTGAGGTCCTGTTTTTGGCCACCATTGGTCGCCATCTTTTGTGCCCGTTATTCGGAGGATAGCCCTTATATTTTATTATTAAAACGGCACTTGATGGGTGATGTGGTCAGCATAGCGTCTGCCGCCTTTACTTCCCAGGACTATTACTCTACTCGGTACCCACTCAAGGCTCGGTCGACCTGGTAGACAAGGTCATTTTTGAAAAAAAATTGGCAGAATCAGGAACCAAACTCACAACCTTCCAATCCGCAGGCGAGCGTCTAGCCACTCAACCACCGCGGCTCCCTAATAATTCATAATGCATGTGTATGGGTATTGGAGCATGAATGACTTTGCAGAAGTGTGTGTATGCATGGGTGTCTGTGTATGTATGAGTAGGTGCAGATGTTTGGGTATTTATGTATGAGTATGGGTGGGTGTATGGTTTGGTGCCTGTGAATGATTAGGGCCTTGTGTATGTATGGGTTTTGGTGTATGCATGGATATGTGTGTGTGTGTATATGTATTAGTGTGTGTATGTGTTTGTGCACGCTTGGATATGAATGTGTTTGTATGTATGATTGTTTGTATATGTGTAGGTATGTATGAATGGAGCATATATGAGTTTGGATGCATATTTGTGTATGGATATCTACTTGTGTATGTATTAGCGCATGAGCATATATAGTACCAGCATTTGTGCATGAATGGATATGTGTGTATGTATGAGCTGCTATGTATGTATTGCTTGGGTATTTGTGTGTCTACGTGTGTATGTAAAGGCATATGAGAATGTACAGATTGATTGATTGTAAACGTGTATGGATGGATGATTGTGCATGCATGGGTGAATGTATGTATGGGGTGATTGTGAATGCATGGGTGATCATGTATGCATGGGTGATTGTGTGTTCTTCTGTCCTTCTAACTCCCAGTGGAGCATAGGCTCTCAACCAACTCATGCCAAGTTGTTCTATCCTTCGTTATCACATGCAGCTCTCCCCATGTCATCCCCATCTTTTTTAGCTGCCTTCTCCATGTGTTTTTTAGTCTTCCTTTATTTCTATGCACCTGTTTGTTCCAGTGCAGAGACATTCTAGTTATATTGTTCTGCGGTTTTCTCAGCGTGTGTCCTATCCAACGCCAGCATCTTTTCTTCACCTCTTGTTCCACTGGAACTTGTTTGGTTCTCTCCCAAAGCTCTACATTAGTATCCTATCATATCATTTAATTCCCTCTATTTTGACGACACACCAGTTAATGAATGTAGTTTATTGGTAATTGCCTTAGTTATTCTCCATGTTTCCGCTTCATTCAACAGTACTGATTTGAATTTATAATTACATTTTTTTAAAGTTTAGTTTAGTACAGGAGTAATGGTGGTATGTATGCATAGTTTCATTTGGAACATTACAGTGTGATTACTCGACATTAGATTCACGATTACCAGCTGTTACTAAGATGGAAAAAAAAAGGGGGGGGGGGGGGGGTGAAGAAGGTTTGCTATTGCAAATTAGGATAGCTATTTAGCATAAATAATGAGGCCAATGTGTTGACAACAAATACAAATGTATGTCAGTGCCTGCACTTTACCCATGATTGTTTGATTTGGGGATGAAAATGAGTTTTTGACCTTTCTGTGTACCCTACCACCCTAACTGGGGGAGCATTTCAGCCTGACCACATCACTCGCTGGCCTACAAAGTATAGGTCAAGCATTACATGTCTAGGTGTGGAAAAGGGTCATTTACCTTTGCAGATAACAATAGAGGTACGGGAGCTTTCACTCGGTCATAGCATTATGGAGAGGAGTTGGTTGCATATCCTTTACAAGACATTGCATACCAACCCCAACATGTGTTGCCTGTTCGTCGTTTTACAAAGCAATTTTACACTGCCATTACTTACTCAGCTGCAACAGTCCAGGAGCTACATCTTTATATCTCAGGATTCAGTGTATACACCCAAATAATTACAACAAATCACCTGTACATTCTCATATGCTCTTATATACACATACACATGTAGACACACAAATACCCAAACATATACAAATACCTATCTATACATACAAAGCAGCTCATACAAACACACACATTCATGCACAAATGCCAGTACTATATACGCTCATGCGCTAATACACACACAAGTACACATCCGTTCACAAATATGCATCTAAACTCATACTGTGGCATACATGCACTCCCAAACATGCATACGTATCTATATTTTGCAAATACAAACCATAAATCAGACCAAGGTAAAGCTACATAAGTCAGGTTGAGGTTGAACATTTTCAGATTTTCAGGCGCTGCGGTAACTAGGTGCCCCTATATTTCTTTGCCTTTGTTTACTTGTAATGTTATGTAGGATGATGTCAGAACACTGGGGGCCTCTTGAGAATTTAGTTTCTATTTAACAATCGAGCATAACAGTAAGTAAATATTGGATGAAAAACAGCTGGATTAACACAACTTGTCTCTTAAACATATGCAGATGAACATTGATTGACGTATGTGAAAATGGCGATTTCTCAGGCACTGTTTGTTTCCTACATGAATACTGTTTTAAGTAAACAAACACCATGTAAGTTTGTGTCCACAGTATATATTTGTTTGTGTTGTGTATTTTCACAGCTGACATCATTTCCTGTGTTGAGTTCAACAGTGATGGTGAACTCCTAGCAACAGGTGATAAAGGTGGTCGGGTGGTTATTTTCCAGAGGGACAAAGCTGTAAGTTTAACTAGTTGTTGGAAAAATATCTTAACTCTGTATCTACCACGAGCTGGGCTGTCAGAAAATGTTTCTGCTGGCAGGCTTCTAGCTACTTTAGCTACTTTGTGTTCACTTGCTGTAAACTCAAGTGGAAAGTCCTTGTTGTTTGTCCACTTCTGGACTTGAATCTTGTTCCAGAACTTGTTTTGTATGCACATGTTTCAGATCTAGCTTCTTTGTGTGCAGACTGTTGGTTTTTCACCTCTCAGGTAGGTGCACACTGACATTGAAGGAAGCACCCTTAATGTCTTTTTTTACGATATGCTCGATAGACGACAGTGAGTCTATTCTATGTTGCCCCTACAATGATATCCTGCAACCCATCCGGGACATTGTGCAGATAGGATAGATTTGTTTAGACGTGTCAAAAGAATTACACTTAAAAATGTAGGGACTACTGGCAACTTAGCAGAGAAAAAAATAATGAGAAAACAGAGGGAGAGAAATATCTGGATGTCTTGAGCTTATGGCATGGACACAACGGCAGCACTGAAATGACCATTTAATGTGGGATGACAAACCTTGACGGCCAGTACTTATCAGTATGGTTGCATGTTGATGACCAGATACTGTTTCTTCATCATCATGTGCTGTGTCAGTAAGTGCATGCTGTCTTATTTTGCCACCTCACACTAGTTACAGTTACAGATGAGGTCAGTGTTCTTGACTTGCCACATCCATTTGACAAAGCCATCTAGATATTTGTCTGTCGTCACCTTGCTCTCC